AATGATCATAATAACATTAGTGATAACAATAGCAGTAAGGATCATAATAATCATGATAAGAATAGTACTAATAATAGTAACAATTCTTGTGATGGGAGGGAAGTATAGTTTCAGGGGCTTAGGGCTTAGAGTTTACGGTTCAGGGGCTTAGGGTGTACGGTTCAGGGGGTTAGGATCGTAGAGTCTAGGGCTAGGCTTTAGGGTGCAAGGTGTAGGGTTTGTGGGTTTTAGGGCCATCACCTTAGAAAAAAGGTATGCCACAACAGAATCACACGGGGTTGATACACTGTTTTGAGGGGGTTGTGGGGTGGTTTGAGGGGCCCCCGTAGCCCAAAGCCCTACTCCAAAGGAGACGACTCGCGTTGTATGATTACGGGCCAGGGGTGCAGTGTAGGGTCTATGTAGGTGCTGCAGGGTGCAGGACGTAGGGCTCAATGCGTGTACCATTCTGGGTTTGCACAGACTGTTCAACGATTGTAGTCAGAAGGATCATGTGTGATGCCATCCCTGGTGTGCGATTGTCCCAGCTGTGGTCAATTTGTCTCGACTCAGGGGTCTCGGACCACAAAGCGCGCAGCAAAGCCCCACGTTCCCCGGCAGCATCGGCGTTTTAGGGTTCAGGGTTTTGGATTTCGGGTTCAGAGTTTAGGGTTAGGGTTTGGGGTCTTTTGTGGAACCTCTGCAAGCTCTCATCCTGCAGAATCTTTAGAGCTTCCAGAATTAATTCGGGTTCCCGGAGTCTTCGGTTGTTTTCAAAAAGTCTTGTACTCCCCCCTGAACCCCGAAGCCTAACCCCTAAGCCCCTAAACCCCGACCGAAACCCTAAGCCCCTTAACTTGAAAACCGAAACCCCAAACCCCAAACCCATAAATCCTTAACCCTAAACCCTAAATCCTGTGCTATTTTTTTCTGAACTCACCAGTCCGAAGTTTGGAACCCTTAAGTCCGGAAACAAGAGCTGCGGCGGCCACTAGCTCTTGAACGCTAACAGGGTACTAGTCAAAAGTGTTCCTTTGAGTTCCGTAAATTTTTTCGTGATGATGTTTTTCATATGCCCCATATCAAGGCCCCTATATCAGGCTGGGAGGTCCTGCAACTCAACCCTGGTTTGCCAAGCAGCTGCGTGAAGCTTGAATTTGCCCCAGCCGCCGATATATTCATGAGAGTTTCGCCCTGCTGTTGTTGTTGTTGTTGCTGCTGCTGCTGCTGGATGCTGAGCTACGTCGCATGGCAAATGCTCTTGGCGAGTGCACACCGTCTGCGACATTGCACAGAGGCAGCCGAAGTGGACACGGAAGCAAAGGAGCTTCCGGCCGTGGTGACAGCAGCAGACGCAGTGCCTGCTGAGGCACATGCCCTTGCTCACATTGTTCATAAAGATGTCCCTCATCACTCTGCTGGCAGGCAGCGAGCACATCGGAAGCAGCTGCCCCTGTCAAGGAGGCGATTGCCGGGGCCCTCGGCACTAGCCCAGTTACCTGCATGCAGTTTGGGCTTCATTTGCTTGCCGATTCAGCTATGAGGACCTCTTTCATGTGCACTCCCTTCGCTGCGAGCCACTGCTTTCAACCCGCATCCTTTGCAGGCACCAGCCCCAGCCAAGGGCAAAGCCAAGGGCTCCTTCGAGGGTGCTGGAAAGGCCATACCTGCCGCTAGTCGAACGTTGTTGGAGGTTTCTTGCGCATGTTTTGGAACGAGGTCTAGGTGAGTCCTCTAGTCAGCTGAAGAATTCGACTTCGGTACAGGAAGTCCGGTTGTTGTGTTTCCACTTCTTTAGCTGAGGCTAGCAGTGTCTGTTCAGATTTTTGGGGTTTGCAATTTAAAGTTTGGGTGATCTCTAGGAGCCCAAACCCTGGGAACAGCAACATTACAGAAAGGTGAACAACCCTAAAGCCCGATAGGTGGCGGCAGCAGACCCGGAGGAGACTGAGCAGACAGGAGAGGATGTGACTCTGACTGCTCAGAAGGGTTCAAGAACCAGGTGAGTTTCTTGAAGTTCGGCTTAAGAAGCCATGTTGGTTGAACTTAGGGCTTAGTTGTTTTTGTAAGGTGCCTGTGCATTCTGTGCGCCTTTGTCTAAGATGGGTCTTGCAAAGGAGCTCGCATTTTGAATAACTCCCAGGTGAGTACGAGTGCGGAGGGCGACCAGGACGAAACAGAGGACAGCTTCGAATCTGCACGACGTGGCGACCTGAACAAGGTGACCGGGAGGCATTCACGGGGCTGATCAGGCACCATTGCTGCCATACGAGTACACTTAGTGAAAATGATCATCGCCGTAACCATGATCATGCTGGGCATACCAATCACTGTCATGCTTACAATTAAAGCATGCCAGTAGGATTTTCCAGGGCCGTTGGGCGATGAGGACCCTGACTACCAAGCCCTGGTTTAGTGTTTGAGGAAGCTTTAGGGTATAGCGCGTGGAAGGAACCACAGATCTAAACCTCACACACCTTCTCATTTTTTTGTGCAAGCCTCGCCCCCTGCCGTTTCTCTTCTTCTTCTTGAGTTTACCACCTGGAGTTTGGGTTAGCGGCGTCGATCCCTGAACCAGGAACCCAAAACCGGCGAACACCAACATCACAGAAACCGAACAATCCTGAAACTCTAAAGCCCTAATCAGGTGTTGTTAACAGGTGGGTCGAACTTAGGGCTTAGTTGCTTTTGTAAGGTGCCTGTGTATTCTGTGCACCTTTGTCTAAGATGGGCCTTGCAAAGGAGCTCGAATTTAGAATAACTCCCAGGTGAGTACGAGTGCGGAGGGCGACAAGGACAAACAAGAGGACAGCTTGTTGGAAGCTGCACGACGTGGCGACCTGAACAAGGTGACTTGGAGGAATTCAGGGATCGGTACAAAAGGTTTTGCTTTACATGCGCGTTTGTCCCCAGAGAGATCTCGAAGGTGAAGGAGCTCTTGGCGGACGGTTGCGACCCACGTGCCTGGGTGAGTGGTCAAGAGACTTTCGCAAACAGAGCACTTGCTGCCGATGGCAAAAGCCGGGGTTTCATCCCCAGGACAAGGGCTGCCGATGGCAAAAGTTCGGGAACCATGCCCCTCATTGCAGCTGCAGTCTCAGGGCACAGCCATGTTGTGTGGGAGCTCTTGCAGTCCAGAGCTGATCTGAATGAGAGAGATTCCGATGGACTCACAGCGCTCTCGGCAGCTTTCTGCTCGCCGAATTGCGACATCCACATGTGGTTTCTTCTCCATCACGCAGTGGATCAGGAGCGAAAGAAGCCTTCTCAGAGCTCGGATGCTCAAGCAGACCTCCGAAATGATGATGAGCAGCCCTTGCACAAGCTCCAGAACACTCAAGCAGACATCAGGGAAGACCCGGGGCGAAATCAGAGTTCGGACACTCCAGAAGGTTTCCCGGAGGAGGAGAAGCGCACCTTACACATGCACTCGAACGCCGGAGCAGACATCCGGGAGCATGAGTTTTTGCGCAGGCTCTGCGACGGGAACATGAATGCAAAAACGATGGCAGACATCCGGGCGGATGAGAAGCGGACCGAGCGCATGCTTGTTACACTGCTGCGTGGAGAGGGACATATCTTCACGGAAATGGTTGCCGGCTTGCTGAAAGAGGCCGGCTCGCTTTTGAACAAACTGGTAAGGTGGCATGCTAAGACCAGGCTCACATAAGAGAGAGCACTTGGGAGGAATAGAACATGTGTGAGAGAAAAGAACAGACAGAGCGAAAGAAAAGTTAGTCAAGATAAAAGAGTAGCGGAAACAACCATAAACAATCGCGAAGTGAAGCTCAACAAAAGCAGGTGGCAGCTAGCAAACTTGTCACATGCCATGGTCGGTCAGCATTGCCAGCAAACTAAGTACAGAGAAGCGTCATGGAGCCAATGACAGCACTGGCCTGACATGGCATGCCTAGAAAAGCGACGAAGTTTGGTCGAAACTTGTCAGGTTGAACCCGGCCGCTACCGGTCAGAGAGATTGAAGGAGCGGATGCGCACAGTCCTTTGCGACTATGCGCTGGACGGGCAGAAGGTACCAAGCATGCAGTCAGTCTGTCAATAGCTGCGTGTAGGGCAGGTTACAGGTTCCCGAGCTACCAAGCTTTTCAACGGCCGTGGCAGACATACGGCCACGCACTTCCAGTTTCCTAGTTTTGCTATGTGCAGCCATCTTGCACCGGACACTCAGGTGCAGAAGTTTCTTGAGGATCGTGGGAGGGCTCCTCGAAAGTCCATGTATGTCCTAGCAGACGATCGTGCCAAGAAGCCCGACGATGTCGATGCATTCAACCTGAGCTGGCACAATATGCTCTATGCGCCGGAAGTACAAGTGTCGTTGCGAAGCTTACCCATCGCGGCACCTCTGGCATGCGAGCCGTCGGTGCTTGCGGCGCTGGCAGAGACCGCTAACGAGGAGACCCTACAAACAGACACCGTGGAAGCCATCACCGCAGCGGCGTGGCTTCAGATGCGAGTGGCTACCGCCGTCGACAATTTCCTGAACTGCGTGGCTTTGGGATGTTTGTGTTTGGTAACTTGGGCATGCCGCTACGGAGACGGAGGTATGGATGCCCAGCCAGCACCCCAGAACTTCTCCTTGAGTTTAGAGCCGCCCATGATTCTTGAATTCCAAGTGCAGACCTGGTCCTCATCAGGCAGAGACTGAAAACAAGCGGTTCTGGTCATGCTGCAAGGGTCCAGTCATGTGCCCAACACTCAAAAACCTTAAACGAGGCCTGCACTATGGGTCCTGGCAATGATTCAGTTCAAAGAAGGCGTGGAGTTGCTCTGGCAGCTTGGTTTCTATTGCTGGAGCTGTCTCTCCTGCAGTAGCGAGAACACCGAAAGCAGGGGGTGTCTCGTGTGTCTTCCAGAAAAATTTTTCTGTTTGATCTTTGAAGGATGACGGAGCCACTGGGCTCTTGATGTTTTAAATTTGAATATGTCAAATCGTTGAGTATGTCTTGACAAATTCAGGCATGTGGACCGCGTGAATGGAAAGGAAATGAAGCTGCTGGGTGATGCCGATGTCTCCTTTGTGCAGCCTGCGCCCAGCTTGGAAACTCTCGTTGATTTCTTCTTCTTGGTGGCCGGCCCCTGGGTTCTTGTTAAGGAACCTAATCTGAGTTATTTCGAAGAAAGCATGTTCTTTCATGCAAGGTTTTGTGTAGGGACATAGTTCAAGTTCGTTAGAAGCAGCCATATTGTAAACCCCTAAGATGCTATTGGGGTGCCTAAACCCTAAACCCTAAACGTAGATCAGTCTCACGAGCAAGCATCCAGGTTGCTTCGCGATCTATCGCCAGATGGATCTCTGCAGCGGTGGCGAGTTGGAGCCGATCTTCTTGCCAGGCTTCTGTTCGATGTACTGGCTCCGACTCATGTACCTGGAGCCGTTTAGGGTTGAGGGTTTAGGGTTCCTACTTGTTAAGTGTTTAGATTCTAGATCCAACAGACCAGTTTGTTAAGAGGACATGTGATCATTTCGCACTTGGTGTACGTTTTTGAAGTGCAGGTACAGCCTTCGTGGAGAGCGGTGGCTGGGGCCCTACCTCCTACCCATTCTGTCAGCCGTTCGAGACACCGGGGCGTTCTTCTTCGTCACCTCCTTGTGTGTCGCAAGCGCGACCCATGCCTACGTGATCATGAATCCCCGAGGCGGAGTAAGGAACAGTCTTCAAGTTTGAGGGCATGGTATGATAAGGTCATGTAGGGCTCAATGCATTTTGAACCAGTAAAGGATGTAGTCCGAAAGCCCGAATATGCGTCCCGAGGCGAGGACGACCACCCCATATACTCTTCGTTCCTGCACACGGTTCGATTGGCCATCTTCGGGGACTTTGACCTCTTTGAATACCAGGGCCAGGACACCACCTTTCAGCTTGATGAGAAGGGCGAGTGGGCGCCGAATGACCCCAAACCGAAAGATGTGGGAGGAGAGGACTCCCCCTTCTGGCCCTACATCTACCTGCAGCTCTGCTTCTTCTGCACCGGGATCGGCATTACGGTGCTGCTCATGAACCTGCCACTTTGATGCTGGGTAGGCAACCTTTAACCTGCTTTTTTTAAAACGAAATCTTTGGTAACACAAACCCAGCTCAAGGTCAGCGACATACTTTTGCGCAGCAAGCGCTGAAAACTTAAGATCCTCAGCCCCAGAACCCCCGAAACCCCGAACTCAGCAAGTAAGGCTGATTGCTATCCTAAGCCAGAACTACGAGATGCAACAGTGCCGGGCACAAGGGCTCTTTGTTCAGGCCCGTGCGCGTATGCTGCTGGAGGTGGGATGTGGGTTTAAGCTGCGGGGTTTCAAGGCTCGGTGCAAGTGTACGGTTCAGGGTTTCGGGTTTGCCAGCAGTGAAGGTGGGCGCAGTGACAAGGACCCTAAACCCTAAACCCTAAACCCTAAACCATAGGGTGACCGCAGAGGCACTTACACAGCAGCGGCTAGTTTTTCTTCTAAGTCCTTTCTTCTCGCTACCCGTGGACTGGCACCCGATTTCATTCTGGCTAAGCGACCTCACTTCCGGATATGATGTCTCACACTGCTAAAGTTTGTTGTCACGTTTGTTTTTTTAGGGGGTCCGGTCTGGTCCTCTCTCCACACAGCACTTTCTCCGATGCTTCATTGAAGCTGGCTATGGCTCTCGATCCATCCCGGCTCCGATTGCCAAGTACTTCGGCTTGTTCATATGTCGATCTCCATCTTGACTAGACTGTCTTCAATTTGGTGTCCGCGCTGCTGGAAGTTAATGCCTCCAAAGACGCGGGCCCGGAAGCTGCCACGTTTCGTTTACGATACGGATGTAGCGTATATTGTGGACTCTGAGTTGCTTGTAGGAGGCCGATGCGCAGTTTTCGTCATGTCAAGCGTGCCTGCTGACCGCGAAGGCTATGTAGATTTGCTGCTTTTACTTTTAAAGCGTGTGTCTGCGGGTGGGATGCGCGGAGTACAGAAGATTCGCCAGGGGCTGTGGTGCCTTAAGGTCAAGCTCCTGTCCAGCGGAGTTCTTTGTAGATCTTAGATGTCCCCAAGAGCAAGAAAAGCAATAATCACAAAATAACAAAGGTTAATATTTATGTCATGGTCATTCCTTAAACCCTAAATCTTAAACGAAGAAAAGCGGGAGCGCCCCACCTCAAAGAAACTCGGCCGTTTCACGCCGCACTCGTGCCACTCATGTGCCTTCGGATAAAACTGTTCAGCTCATGCTTTCCAGACCGTTCAGAGAGAAGCATGCAACAGCGAACTCACTTCACAGATTGACACTGGTTAAGAACATCTCTCTTCTCTCTGAAAGTCAACATGAGACCTCCTCTAAGAATGTTCCACCAGTCCCCTGCTTTCAGGGGTTTCGTCAAGTGGTCGGCTAGTTGGGCCGTGGTCGGCACCCAAGCCAATCTACCCAAACACTTCAGGTCATCGCGAATGGCCGCTAAATCTATAGCCAAACGCTTGCACGACGGAGGACGAGGAATTCCGTCCTTTGTCAAAGTGTCATACAAACTCTTGCAGTCACTTCGAAAACGGATCTCATAGCGAAGAGGGGAAGAACTTCTGGCCAGCTTTCCGTCGACCAATGTCTGTAGAAAGCGAAGTATATACTCCCCGGTCTCGATGGCTGTAGCACATCCCATCGTTTCTGCCGCGAACGTTGATCTACAGACTCTATCACAAGCAGAACTTTTCCAGTCCAGGATACTGGGACGATGACGACCTCCTTGTAGCACCGCACTGTCACAAAGGAGGTACAAGCCACCGAGCTGAGAGGCGATGCAAGAGTTTGCGCGCTTGGCTTTCCTCAGATGGAACTCGTAGGGACCGTCTTTCATCACTCCTTCTGCGTTCTCCTCGGGAGTGAGGGCGTAGTAAGGATCATCGTCACTCTGTGGACAGTTGGCCCACCCGGCATCATGATAACAAAGAAGGAGGGCTCGGCTGAGGTCAACAGGCCTGATCAAGATTCCTTCTTCATGATGTTCGTAGGCACGTTTCGCCAGGGCATTGGTGAACCTGATGTCTCCAACGCAGGGGCTCTTCTGGCATTGCTGGCTGAGAGAGACTCCAACCTGCAGGTCCGGACGGGTCTGACTCGAAAGCCAGCTCAGAGCTCCCACCAACGACATGTTGTCGTGTCGCTGTACTTCAGTGGCCGTCTCCGAATCCTTCTGGTCCTTGTCCACCTCGATCTCGAAAAGACGCGTCTTCACATATCCGGTTTGACTCACCTTGATTTCGTCTGCACGAACATCGACAAAGGAGCCGACGTACTCGAAGCTTCCCGTCTCCCACTCGGGGATGGGGAAAACTTCGCTTAAGCGTCCTTTTGTCAGACTGCACACCTCGTCCAGTCCAATCAAGAGGATGTCATCAACGTGCACTCCGAGATAAGCTTCTGGTTGCTTGAAAGAGACATCACCTCCTTCATCGCCATGGACGATCTCCTGCACCATGAATATGCAGTGGTCGAGGGTGCATTGGCGAATAAACCACACTCGTCCATCCGGGCGCTTGATGTCGATCTCTTGGAGCTTGCTCCTGAGGGTGTCCCACCAGGAGGAAGGCGAGTCAACAAGGCCAAAGATCGGCCTTCGAATATGAAGGAGTTGTTCAGGATGGAGATCACCGAGTCCAACCTTGGGCTGCTTCAGGTAGAGCTCCCTCTGCAGTTCTTGTCCGCAAAGAAAGGCCGAGCTCACGTCTCCGGCGTGTCCCGTCCATCCATTGACAAGGTTGGACGCCAAGGGCTGCAAGAGCAGGAAGATCCCCTGGCGTGAGATCGTCGGAGCGTGCGTAGCCAAACCCTTTGCTAAGTCGGGGTCTCTGTGGCCGGCTATAACTAGCCGTGCCTTTGGTTTCCACGGGAGCTCCTCGTTCTGCTTCCGCTTGCTCCAGTGTTTATCGCGATAAGCGAATCGACTGCCTAGCACTCGGTCCTCCTTTGTCGCCATGATCTTTCTGCTGTCTTCAACCGACAGCGGAATCAATGCGTTGTGATCGCGATGTTCCTCCCACTGCTTTTGTTCCGCGGCTCGAAAAGCGGCGTGCTGTGAAGGCGGGATAAAGGCCCATGGCAGTTCCTTTTCCAGTGCCTTCTCGCGCTCTCGAGGAGTCTTCGGGAGCTTGAGCATGAAGGCCTCCTGTGGAGGTCGAGGAACTTTTCCTTGGCCTTCGTTGTCGCCATCATCAGAGGCCAGAGGAGTCTCCGAAACTGGGATTGACTTTCCATCTGTGGGGACCGGCGGTCCCTTCTTACGTTTCCTCCTCCGGGGAATCTCTGGCATCTCGGCAGGGATGTTGGGGTCGTCGTCCAACTCCATGTCCCCTTCATAAGCGTCCTCGATGTCCTCAACGGGGACAACGTCGATGCCCATATCTTCGTCAGAAAGGCTGGGAGGGTCGCCGCCGAGGTTTTCCTCATCGCCGACGTAGATCTCTTCCTCAGCAAAGTCGCGTTCCAACAGCTTCTCGAGGTCCTCCTTGGTGGTCCGAAGAGTGAAGGCGCTTCCGATCTCTTGGTCTGTGGCCATACGAAGATGTTCTCGAGCAACCAAATGATACCTCCCTGCGAACGAGGTCCAGAAATTGGGCCCCTCAAATCCGATCACCGTCGCTGGTCCGATCCATCTCCAATCTTTGGAGTTCTTAGGCTTCCTGTAGAAGTAGACGAAGTCCCCGATTTGAACCTCAGGGCCGGCAACACGAGAGCGTTGAAGGAGTGCTCGACGTAATTTGTTGTCGTTCTGGTTCTTGAAGAATGCTTCTTTGGCCGCGAGTCTCAGCGTCATCTCTCGTGCCCTCTTTCGGTCCTGGGTGAGGATGTGGTCAATCTGGTTCCCGTGTGAAGAATCCAACAAATCTTCAGGAAGTTGAGGATCTCGACCCCACACGGCCTGCGCTGGGCTAAACCCCGAAGACTTCTTCAGGGTGTTGAGTGCCGTGTTGATAGCGGTGACGGTGATCCTGAGGTCGTTCTTGGAGACGGAGTGGTCATCCACGAGTTTTCTCCAGATAGCTTTCCAGGACTGAATGGTTCGCTCCACAGTCCCCTGTTGAAAGAGTGCTTGCCCAGCTGCTGGGCGTAGCTTCGTCCCATGCCATTCTGAAAACCTTCCAAAGCCGGCTTGGAGTCCCGACTCCAGGTCGAGCGCGATGGTGCCGGGGGGGCTGAGTAGAATGCCCGGTCAAAGCTCCCGCCAGCGAAAATCCAGTAGCAAGATCTGTGACCATCATGAACTCGTGCCTTCTCTTGTTGATGTCATAAGTCGAGAAGGCATCAACCGCAACGACTTGATTAAAGTCGAGGAGAGTGGGCAACGTCGCCGGCCGTGCAGGAGGAGCTCGTCGATTCCTTGCACACACCTGGCATCGGATCCTTTTAGCTGCGTCCACAACTTCTGCTCCGGCTCCAGCGATTCTGAGGTGTCTGGCCATGTCCTCATTCAATGGATGGCCCAGGTTCTGATGCAGACGTTTCAAGGACGACTGTACTTCCTTCTTGATCGGTGCCCCTTTTGCGAAGGCAATCGCTTGGGCGCCTTCAGGCTCGGGAACAAAAATCGTACCTTCTCCTCGCTGTCCTCGCGCGTCGACGACGTGAGCTTCCTGACCGGGGCCTGGACATCCTTCTCGTCGTAGTAGATATCGTCGAAAACGTTCCTCGCTGATCTCAGGGTCCTCGTAGTCGGCGGCCTCGGTCGGGTTGAAATGGAGTTCAACACTTCCATTGGTGGTGGGCTCCCATCGATGGTTGTAAATGTCGAGGAAGGCCAGGAGGAATCGGATGTCCAGTAGCTCTCCCCCGGGACTCCATCAAGGACGGCTGCCCTTCCAGCCGCAAGTTGTCTCTGAACAACCACGAATACTTTCTCGAGCTCCTGGCGTAGGTTGCACATGTGGACCCAAACCCTCTGAGGCTGAAGCTCGTCGAGGACAGCTGTCGCCATAGACAAGCGTACGAAATCATCAACACCCAAGGGTTCCGCGGTCAGGTAGCCGAGGTCGTGAGCATCAAAGGTCTTGTTGGTGCCGCCAATCTCGAAGAGTGTTACTCCTTCGGCTCTCCGTCCAAGGGGAAATTCAGGGAGTAGACATGTGGACGCTGCGAAGGTGCACCACGTGGTCAAAGCAATGATCCTTTTGGCGTTTCGCCAGAGTCCACGTCGGGTGCTCTTGATTGGCCTTGGGACCCGCGCATAGTCCTCCTCGTCTTTGTTGAGGGCGTAGGACAGAGTCCGCAGTGGAAACCGTAGCTCTCGGTGACCATCTCTGAGCCTTGCGTCGGTCTTGGGGTAGGCTCGCCCAGTGTAACAAGAGATACACCACCTCTCTCCGACCCAGGGCTCGGTAGCATGCCTCCTTCTTGGATCAAGGGTATGGGGAATGTCCTGAGTT